ACTGGATCTGGGGGTCCCCAGAACGTGACAGAAATTCTCACTTGGTGGGTGGGGTGGGGAGGTGCTGCGGAGTGGTGGTGGGATGCTGCAGAGTGGTGGGGGGGGGTCCCAAGGGGGTGGAAGAGGGTCTCACCCACGCTGTGCTTGGGCTTGGACTGGCAGGTCCCACCAGCACAGGGTAGCTTGACTAAGTTCTCAGCCTTGGACAGTCACACTACATGCAGCACCCAGGCCGGGAGGCCCACCGTGTCCTGGTTGTCTAATTGTTCCCAAGCTGTTTCACCTGGACACCACCTAGGCATGTTCCTTTAGTCCTCTGATGCTAGAGAGAGAAATTGTCAGAGGCTGTGACTTCTGCAACAAATTTGCCCTTTGTGGAGGGGCCCAGGCAAGACATAGGGAGAGCTGTGCTCCTTGTAGGGGATCTGGGGGCGTCAGGCCTCCCTTCTGCCCCTTCTGGGCACCCCCACACTCCCTGACTGGTGGCCCCTGCTGCACATTGTCATTTCTTCCCTGCCTGCACAATCGCATTGCACCTTCTCCTGGCTCCATCTCCTCTGTCTTTTTCTTGTAAGGAACCTGTGAGGCTTTGGGGACTCACTGGATAGCCCAGGGTAGTCTCCCCCTTCCTAGGTCCTTAACATAATCACACCTGCAAAGTCCCCCTTCTCATGGCAGGTGTGGCACACGGGATGCAGGGATTGGATTGTGCTGTGTGCATCCTGCCCACCCAGGACTCTGTGTGAGGCCCGTTTCCAGACCAGAGACAGCGTGGGGTCTCTACGTACTCGGTGGTACACAAGCCTCCTATCTAGGATCCCTGAATTCCTGGGAAAAACCTCAGCCTGGATGGAGAGCTCTGTTTCGGTCTCGCCACGGGCTGTATGCCTGTGGGTTGATTTTCCAACCTGGCCAGACTGGGAGGGCCCAGGTCACAGGGTCTACAGAGTTCTGCTCAGGTCTCCGCTGAGGCCAAGATCCCTGAGGACTGTTGTAAGGTGGGGAACGGGCACATGCATGTAGCAAGGGGTTGGAAGCAAGCACCAGCGAAAACTAGTTCTTGCCATTCCTAGGCACCCCTCCCTCCCAGCCCCATAACTGGCCCCATTGTCATAGAGGAGGTCAGGAAAAAGTTGTGTAGGGAGTGCAGGGACCAGTGAGCTGAGCTGGAAGGCACTTCCCCTGAGAGGTTCCCCGCTCCTGCTGTGCTCAGCTAGCTACAATCCTGCCTGCTCCCACCACACCGGCCTGGAGACCTTGGAAATGTAGCAAGGCCTGAGCCAGCACCCTGCACCCATGCCTTGGAAGTGTCCTCACAGCGTGGGATGGCATGGGGCAGAGGAGGATGATCCCTTAGAGATTCTAGCTCCTACCTTCCCCAGGCAGAGCACTGGCCTTGAAGCCGGGCCCACGGACCCCGAGCCCCACCCCCATCCCTAGTGTCATGTGTGACTCAACCATTGCCTTAGTCCTCTGGGCCCCACTTGGGTTACTGTATCTCAGCCGTCATCAGATTCTCTTTGCTACGAGAGGATTGCGTCTTGATCTGGTTTACAGATCGGGCCTGTGGGGATGGGCTCAGCCCCACTCCCTGGCCCTGAGGAAATTGGTTGAGGAATCAACACCTGGCAAAGAGAAAGGGCCGGATTCTTGCAGCCTGTCTCCCATGGGGCCAGGGAGTGGGGTCTTGAGGCTGTCACCCGCAGGCCGGCTGTTTTAACTAGGCAGTGTGGCATTCCCATCTCCCTGGAGTCCCACGCTGTGTGAGGCTTGTGTTACTGTGTGGCGGGTAGTCTCGACAGAGCCTTGA